CTTAACGGTAAACACAGCCCAGAGAGTGGGCAGTGTTTACCTGGCAAAGGTTGCGCCTTCAAGTGCTTCTTTTTTTGATGCTTTGTAATGTCGAACAGAGATGCAATTTAAGACAGGATTTGCCTTAAGCTGTTTTCATTTCTAGCCTAATCTCTCATTTATATTTTACAGCTTTTGAGGAACCGTATGTATTGAACCTATAAAACTGCTGATCTCTCGGCACATTTTTCATTTGATACGTCCAAAGACAGTTTTGTTTTCAGCTGCATAAGCACCTGCACACTGTGATAATTCTGTAAAGACTCGTTAGAGTTTAAGTGGGGATGACACCAAAAATAACTGAGCTCCAGGTTCTGTTTTCTTTGTATACATGTGAATTTTAGTGCGTGCACACCCCCTGAAACCATGTTCCTGCTTTTAGACAGACCTTTCTCTTTCAGGCGCCTCGGCAGTGATGTGTTGCAAAGCCGACAATAACACGGCTGAAAAGAGTCGTAGTGTTATTTATTTACTTTGTCTCATTCGCTGATGTTAAAAGTATGGTGTGCTGTTGATGCTTCGGGCCTTTCTGCTCAGTTTTTTTTCTAATGCCGTCTTACTATAATAAGACTGTGAATCAGTTATGAGTATCATTATTATTAACACTTATACTGAACCCAGACTAGTGATATCAGGGCTTTAGTCTTAACCTCTGGGGCTGAAGCCAGCTGGAAAAAACTGCAGTACCTCTTATGGCCATGTCAGCAATGACATTAAAAAGCCTGTTACAGTGGTTTTCGGCTGTGTGATTACCACATGTTAAAGATATATGTACGACTGTCTCAGAGTGATGCTGAAAACTAGTTTGTGAATTTATTACGTTTAAACTGGACTGCTGTAATTCACTATTATCAGGCTGTCCTAAAAACGCCCTGAAAGGCCTTCAGTTGATCCAAAATGCTGCAGTGAGACTGCTGATGGGGAGAAGAAAGAGAGAGAATATTTCTCCTATATTGGCTCCCTGTTAAATGGAGAATTTAATTTAATTTCCTTCTCCTCAAATAAAAGGTCTTGAATAATCAGGACCTAATACACTGAAAAAATAACCTATTGGATTGACGTGAAAAAACCTGTACAGTACATCAGTTGCAGGAAGTAAAGTTATATTTAGTCAACTTTATGTTTTTTATAACTGCACAACTTTTACATGTTAAATTAAGAAGTTATCAAGTTTGTCAAGTTATCTCATGTTAATATAACACAAGAATGTTTGTTGACATTTAAACTTTTTTTTAATGTTGAGTGTATTTAGTTACCTTATGTTAAACTGATATAATTCTTTCATTTTAATCTATGTGTTTGTCTTGATAATCAAAAATTACAAATATCTGTTGGTCTATCAGCTAGTAGACCTGATGTCCTCTGGTTTGTCATGGGCATCTGTGTTTGGAGTGTTCATCATTCTCACTGTAGTCTCCTCAGTGCTGTGAAATGAGCAGTTTCTGCTCTGCATCAAACCAAAGCTGAGGAACCTGTAAGATTCTGGGCCAAAATATCCTTTAGCTGGATGAACTGGATGAGTCTAGGGAAGTCAGTATGTAGGGAAGGCACACCCACAGCACTCTGTCCTCTGAAGAGAAGAGAAGTAGTTTCCTAAAAGCACACTGTAAAAATAAAAATCCTAATATAAAAGTATTTTACTGTGTATTTTACAGTTTTGTACTGTTCTTCTAGAATATCATTAAATTCACATAAATAGACTGTGATTTCACATTTCACATGTAAATTACCGTAAAATCACTGCAATGTAATAAAACATAATTTTCTTGTTTTTTAAATGTATTTGTCTGTACATATGCAAATTTAGATTGTTAAAATACATTCACAAATGCGTCATAATTTCACAAATATTTGTCCGTTATTTGAAAGATTAAGTATTATTATCCATATTGCCGCATTCATTGACCTTGTTTATAGGTAATTTCATGGTTTAATCACATTAAATTGTTCCTAATTTAATGTTTAAAAGCACTTGAAAAAGGCAAAATCCCATGTAAAATTAGGGCAACAAACTGTATTGTCATTACTGGAAATAACCGTATTTTTATGAGTAAGTTATTTTCTGTTATTTTACAGTATTATTTTGGCGCCCCAGCTGCCGGAATATTACTGTTTTTTTAAGATGTTTTTTCCAACAGTGCATATCCATAAACTGAAGCTTGACATTGGTGTTAAGGCTGCAGTGGTTTGGTCTCTCTTTGTAAGTGCTGTAACAGGTCCAGGAGTCCATCTTCAACTCTGTCTATAGTCCATCTCTGGTCCTTGAAGTCTTCATGGATCAGACATTGAGCAACACTGCATGTCTTCATCTGTTTAAGAGATTAAAATGATTGTTGCATATACTTCATATTAGGAACACGGTTATTTTTGCTGTATTTTGCTGCAAAATCAGTTTTACCCCGGTTCGTTTCATTCCTCGAGCATCCAGAGATGCACTGGACTCAGTAGTTTATTCATCTTCATTTAAGCATGCACTTCTAGAAGGGAAGACGAGGCCGGCGTGTCCCTCTGCAAAATCTTCACCTTTGTTAGTTACAGCCAGCTTTATAGAGGCGACCCCATCATAAAACCCCCATGGTGTGCTCCAAACTCTGTGTGTATGCACGTGTACGTGAGTGCCTGTGTATGTGCGTACCAGTATGTATGTGTGAGTGCACGTGAGTGACTGTGTACGCATGTGGGTGTGGGTGCGTAACAGTTAAAGCACTGTGGGTGTGTGTCTCTATGTACGTGACTCCCTGCCAGTCATAAAAGTCCATCTCCCTTCCAGACCACAGTTATCCAGTTACAAATGTTGAGACCCCCACCCAGGTATCCTCTGGGGAATTTTCACTCAGCATTAACTCCTCTTTGTCTTACTTTCACAGTTCAACTGGGGGAGGGTCTCCTACAATCTACTCCTAAGTTCATGACACAGTCAGGCCTTTATTTATATCCAGGGCAGTGTCAGTGTCTCACAATTCTATATCCTATCTAACACATTCCTAAACTCTAAAATAAGCTAAACATTCCTACAATTTTCATCCACATACTGATGAGGGGGAGAGAAAATAAATAAATAAAAAAATAACTACTGTCATCGTCATCATCATCGAGCATTTTTTATAAACACCAAAAAATGTGATTTAACCCGCTGGAGTCAATGCCTGCGACAATGTGTCCAAATCACATGACCTATTTAATGTAGCAACAGGACACAGCCTCGCCGACTCTCCATTTGGACAGTTGACAGCCAAGTAAAACCAGAGCTATGATAAATATTTTGCACCATCCTTTTTCAGAATACTGTCGTCACATTTAGTGCAGGAAGAAACGGTGAAAAAACAGATTTTCTAAGACAAGAGCTTACAACCTGAAAGTGCTTGCAAGTAAAACAACCCCTCACCAAAAAACACCCATGTCAATCAATCAGAAAATAAGATGGCAACAAGTCGTTGTTGTTGTTGTGTAGTTAGTGCATAGGCTTGTTGTTCTTTATTGCTTTATGTGCTAACATAAGTAATTTTATTTCAGGTACCTGTGATATCTAAAGCAGCATTTCATGTCAACAAATAAATTAAAGGGAGTAAATGAAAAAAATGACTAAATACTGAAATCGTATGTAGATCAGTCAAAGCGAACCAGTCTACAAAAGCTTTGAGCAGAGAAACATCCACAGACATACTCAGAGCTTTAATATATTTTCAGGGCTTGTAAACAGGATACAAAACATTGGGATAATTTTTACATTGAAGCTTGGGTCAGTGTAACTAAGTGTAACTTATTACTAAACTAATAGTAATAAAAATACTTTTTAGAAAAAGAATAAAAAACAAATCTATGGAGAAATAAGCATCCCAAACATATGTTTCAACCAGCCTTAGTTCAATATTATAGTTTGTCTTTGGGATGCACAAAAAGAGAGAGATCCTAGTGTTTCTGTGTATGAAAAGTAACATGTAGTAATCCAAATGGTCAAACACCGGAGAACCAGTTCAGTGTATCGTTTTATCAAGCGTTTACCAGCATCTATTATTCTGCTTTACTGAAGAATGTTGAAAAACATTTACAATCATTAATCTTAAATGTGATTCTCTATTTAAATTCTTGGCTGGTTTAGGTTCCTAATTGTGTTGTGAAAGATAATGATGGATTATAGAGGCTAATAACTATGTTTTCTCTGTGTTTTTCTCAGTTTTGCTGGTTTCCCCCCCGTTGAGCTTTGAGCTGCACAACAATTTATTTCTAAATGACAAAATGTCATTTAGCTGTAATTTTGATGGATGCTGAAGTGCGGCTTAGAACATAATAGTCTCCCTTGTTTTGCTGCAAATCGCTTGACCATATCTACCAGTATCAAGAAAATGAATACAAACATGGTAGCTGCTTAATGATATATATTGTAAAGTAATGAAAATTGGGCTTGCTGTTATGAATAGGAACACCTCAATATCTTTACTACTTGATGTGGTTGTAAAGATGCGTCTTAGTTGTTGCACATATCCTAATTTGGATAGTTCAAGTCTTGATAGTAGGGTTATTTTTGTAGTCGTGAACATAAAGCACTTTTTGAATGAAACAATTAACTTGCAGGTAAACTAAAAACAACAAAAGCACACTGTAATTAGTTTTCTTTACTCCATAATTCATTTTCCCTTGTGCAGCTCTTATGTAAGCACATAAAAGGTCTCTAACAAACTTTTTCAAAAGTTTTAATTGCTGCTGTGGGCAGCTCCGATTTTCTGCCTGTTTTGATTACATGTAAAAGTATTGTTGCAACAAAATATCAGTCTCAACATTTCTACACGTGTTTCAGGGTTTCATTTCCCCCGTTGTGATGACACTGTTAAGACAGATTTGACATAGATGCAAATTATAATAACCAATTTCTCTCTTTTCTCGTCCCGCTCCTTCCCCATACCTTCCTACATTTCTAATATTTCTTTTTTTCCCTTTTCCTTCCTCCTTTCACTGCTGCCCAGGGCATCAGTAGCCTGTTCAGCTCTCTGAAGGTGGTCCGCCTGCTGCGTCTGGGCCGGGTGGCCAGAAAATTGGACCACTACCTGGAGTATGGTGCTGCTGTTCTGGTCCTCCTGGTCTGCGTGTTTGGACTGGTGGCCCACTGGCTTGCCTGCATCTGGTACACTGTGTTTGAAATGATTTCAAAAGTCATTGAAGAAACCTTCCCTTGTAGTAACATCTAAAGGCTGCTGCTGGCTCTTCTAGGGATTTACCTAACCTCACTGCACCTAATTACTCATGCATGCTCATTGCTTCCTTGTCCCTATCTGTGTTTTAAAAATCATACACTGCTGTTCTGCTTTGTTTAGTTTCTTCCACATGATATTGAGTAATATGCTAATTTAATTTGCCCCATAGCAAGATTAGGGGAACAGTTCCCACATGAAAGCACAGAAACCCACTTCAAATCGTTCCTTAATTTCACATAATCATGAACATTTAACACAACAATATTTTTCTAACGTATTGCTCACTGAAATGTAGTCCATGGTCATTTTTGTACATTTCTTGTATTCTTGTAAGACACTCAAATTACTTAGTTAAATACTTCTGATGTATACTTCCAAAGGTGCATTAGTTTATTTTTATTAAGATTAAAGTGAACAGTCCATAAACACACCTAAAGTTTGTCATATGATAAAGGATTAACGATTTCAATAACCGTAATGAATATTTACTGAAGTTGTTTATTCACTACTGTAAGCAAATAAGAAAAGTGTCAAATTTTATGCGCCCAATTAATGAAAGGAATAAAAACGGTTTACATATTTTTTAAAGAGTTTTCCCTTCATCTAAATCATAGTTGTGATTGCTTCTGTCATTTTCTTTGAAGCCTACTATATTTGCACATTAAACCTGTAATGTTGAACTGCCGCATGCTTTAAATTTGGGTTGGGCAGCATTTTTTTTAACCAGAGCACCACATTGTCTTACATAAAGTAAGCGAATGGCCAACAGGATAACTAAATTGATATTTAGTTATCCTGTATTTTTATCTGTATTTACTGTACAGCATTTTGGTCAGCCTTGGTTGTTTTTAAATGTGCTCTATAAATAAACTTGACTTGACTTGACTTGACTTGATACATATAAATGTATTTGAAAGAAGACGGTGATATTTAAGCACATTTACAGATTTGTTGAAATCAGCTTTCTTAGAATATAATCTCTCATTTAGTCAAGGCTGCTGAAAGTAAATGGGGAAGAAGATATTTTATTCAAATCTCAATCTAATTGTTCAGTTGTCAGACTAGCTGAATGTACTTAAACTACTTAAACTAGGTACTTAAATGTATTCAAATTCTGATTTTGTCCCAAACAGGTACAGCATCGGAGACTACGAAGTTATCGATGAAGCCACCAACACCATCAAGATGGACAGTTGGCTTTATCAGCTGGCTATCAGCATTGGATCGCCTTACCAATACAATGCCAGCGGTTCTGGAGAATGGGAGGGCGGCCCTGGCAAGGATTCTCTGTATATCACGTCCCTGTATTTCACCATGACCAGCTTGACGACCATTGGATTTGGAAACATTGCCCCCACCACAGACGGAGAGAAGATCTTTTCTGTGGCCATGATGATGGTGGGATGTAAGTACGAGCTATGTGTTGTTTGGGCTTTTTGGTGATTTTCATGGGGCAAACGGGTATTGGCTGATGTTTCAGCCAGTGAAATGGTACTGGAGGCCATTTCCACCCAGTAGTTGTCCTCTGCTGCTGTAATATTCTTTGCAGACATTAAAGTTGTCTGAAGGAACGCTCGTGATGGAGTTTTGATATGTGGTGTTTGAAAGGTTCAGGTGTTGTTAGTTAGTCAGTCCAATGCTTTATTTCTACGCTAGTAATTTTAATGATTAAAGATATAGTTGAACACTTAAGACATCCAAGAGGTAATTACTAATGAATTTACTGACAGCTAAATCAGGTTGAAAATTCTTGTTGCACAGACATTTGTGCAATCACACTCAGAATTCACAATGAATGGACCACAATGAATACTTAACATTTTAACTACACCAACTTTCGACTTATGATATTTATAAGGTCAAAATTTGTGCTTAGGGTACACCCCATCACAAAAGGATAACATCACATCACACCTGGCCAAATGCTAGAAAAAAATGCATTGAGACGCTTTAAACATTCAAACGTGTGACTAAAGGCGTTGTTAAAAACAATGTTAAAAAAAGAGCCCAAGAGAAAAGCATGTTGGAGTTGTCATGGAAATGTCCCAGTGTTGGCCTCATTTGCAGATCATTCTTGGATTAAAAAACATGGTTATTCATAACCATGACACAAACCAGACACACACACACCTCGCCCTGATGTATACGCTCACAGACTTTTAACATCAGTGCCCCTTGTGAGGACACTTTTTACCTAAACTCTGGACACGCCAAGCCACATTTGGAGTATCATAACTGTGCACTCAGATGAGTGCTTCGGCTTAATATGAGCTGCCGCAGAGCAATTTAACATTATAATTAAGCAGTAATTTTACAGTCCTGCCTTTGTTGCAAAAGGATTCCTGACTGTCTGTCGATGTTAGGCTTTTGGGCCACGTAAAGTGTCCATATTTTGATAGATTCTGGTCAGCTGTGTGCAAATAGGTTCATTGTATGTTTGACTGCTGTTGTCTCAAGAGACTGTAGTTGGAAGGAAATTGAATTTGCTCACCTGTGTGTGTGTGTGTGTGTACCTGACATGTGCACCGTATAAGGTTTAATTATTGTCATGTATATTGTGTGTAAGGCAGCATATTTTCCTCAGCTGTGTGGACCAGTTTAGTTCATTTTTGACTGACATACTTTAGTTATATTAGAATGTAAAACAAATATAGTACAATACCCACTCTATATCCTATTTTTACGTTTTTAACAGGCTATATCAGGGTTTAACATACCCTGCTAATCATTACCATGATATTCTTGGTATCTAATATTGACTTCTTCACAAATCCCACATGATGTTTATATGCAGCAAGCTTTAAGGTTATTATTGAACAGAATATCACAGTTGATTTAAATAATGGAAAATATTAACAGGAAAATTGCTGCTGAAAACGTTTCTCTAAACATATTAAAGGCTTTTGCTTGGAAGCACCATACTGCTGATGAAAGCAGGAGATAACCAAAAAGAACAATAGAAGGCAGCGTGAGGCAGAGATGAAAAATGGAAAATTGTGCTCCCTGTGGTTAACCCGAAGAATCATCTGAACAAATGACTTAGCGATGTAATATTTCACAGTGAATGGCAAATCCTGGCACGGTCCTTTTTTTCCTTAAAAAAAAAAAAGTAATTCCATTATTCTGCATTTCAGAGAAAAAAAATGCTCACATGGAAATCTCATCCGGCTTCATCTTCAGCTTGTTGAACAGAATCACTGCTCTGAATCTTCTTTGTCCCCTGGACCTTTCCCAAGTTGCCAAAGCCTGACTATAGCTCATTAGTTACGGTTTCACAGGCTCATGGTGGACACTACATAGAGGAATGAAGCACAATGTTCCCACATGTTATATTTCTTAAAGTAACTGAGTTGTGTGGTAACCTTAAGAACTGGTCCTGGGATTTATCTGAAGATAAGTCAGGATCTTCTTACACTGTGCATTTTATGTGTGAATACAAGACTTTAGAAAGTAGAAGTCAGTTCAGTTTTATTGAAACAACAAATAACAAAAACAGTCTCCTTAAGACCTGATAATAAAAGAAAGGAAACCCCAACAATCACACAACCTTGTATGAACAAGCACTTGGTGACAGTGGAAAGGAAAAACTCCCTTTAACAGGAAGAAACCTCTGGCAGAACCAGGCTTACGGAGGAGCAGCCATCTGCCTTGACTGGCAGATGTTTTTGTTTTTTGTTTTGTCTGATATGGAGGGAGGATATGATGGAGCATTTGTTGATATGAACCTGCAGACAGGATCATGGCTCCACTAGTTCGAATGGATCAGGACTCCAGTTTCAAATGTTATCTGTCCAGTAAAGGGCCATTATAAGTCAATATCACTCCCGTACAGTTACATCCACAACCTGTTGGGCAAAGACAATTTTTATGCACCACTGCAGTGGACTTTAAATCAGCATGTGATTGAAGTGTAGCCTTTCAGCCTTAATTCAAGGGATTTTACAAAAATTACTTTGAGCCTCTGAAAATGGGGGAAATGGTAGCTATTCCTAAACAGTTACCACAAAATCTCTGTGAAACCCATTGAATTAAAGTTGAAAGTCTAACACTTCAATCACATATCAGTTGTTTGATTTAAAATCCACTGTTGATTCACAAATTGTGGATGAAAACAGCACCCACAAAGTAGCAGGTTCATTATCACCAAATTTTATAGTTAATGTGCACAAAAAAGGTGGGGGATGTTTCCGCCTAAAAGAGGTGGAATAAATGCATGAATAAATGTTAACATGAGGCGGTGGCAGTGGTTAGACAGGAGTTGAGTCTGTTAAGCTTCAATGAGACTCAAATTTTCACATGCTGTTTTATAAAGCACCACAATATTAGAAAAGCTAATTGCTTGGATTAAAATAACCCTTTTGCAATGCTATCCACATGTTGGCAAGTTTGATTTTCTATGCTATCAGGCTGACATAATCTAGTTTGCGTTTCTATTTATTACTGAGATAAGTAGAACAAATGGGCAATAATGCACTGTGGACTACCACTTGGAGTCAAAGTATAGGATAAAATCTGTGAAACTAAGCAATTAGTCCAAAAGCAGACATCATGTGGCCAATGATTATTTTTAAGTGTTCGCTTGTTTTCATATCTTTCATTAAAGCATTTGGCAGTTTTCCTCATACGTGTCACGTACAACTTTTAAAGCCAGTTTTCAGTTTGCCAAAACTCCATGAAGACTCTGCCTGCTTGGCACAATTTATTATCCATTTGAGTGGTATAAACAATCTGTTTGATCCTGTTTGTTCAGTGGTTTCTCTTTTAAAACCTTTCAGTGTTTTTGAGGAAGATGAGTTCTCCCCTCCTAAATTGTATTGCAAAAGCATTTCTGTTTGGAATTCTTGATGCTTCTGCTGGCCTGATGGGGCTTGTGTAACAATGTCTATATCCTGGAGGAAAAGTTACTTTCAGGTCATCAATTATTTAAGTGTACGCACAGTCTGCAAAACTGCAAATACAGATTCTTACACCGTGTTCTTTTTCTATCAAGCAGTCCCCTGGAGGCTTTGTCAGGGGAATGACAAACAGAACAGTTTAGGTAGAAAGGTCAAATAGTTACTTTAGCTACGACCTCTAAAATAGGCATTCACATTGTCAACAGCAGTGTGAGTAGTGTTTTCTATGATTATGTTTCTCAAAATTACACCTTTAAGTGAAATCTCTCTCGTTGTACAAGTCACAAATCTTAAGAACTCATAAGTGTTATCACAACCACAATATTTTACACAACTCGAATCAGGAATCTTGTACCTGTCTTGTATTTTGCAGTTGTTTCACTTGGCAAGAAATAGTTTTTTTCTGTAGACACAACTGCCTTAGGGAAAAGCTGCTGTACATTATTTATCACATCTTTTATGCTAGAACAATTTAATTACGGTCGCTCTTTTTTTTATCCTGTGCAAATAAGTTATGTGTGTCTTTAGAACACTGTGGCTGTAGTTCAGCATTTTTGTCGAGTTTATCATTGTAATCATTAGTTTTAAGTCTTGTTGAGGGCAACATTGTCACGGCTAGCGGGGGCAGACCGTGTGGAGAGTGTGTGTGGTGGACCCAGGCGCGAACACAGGCGAGGAGACCGGAGTGAACTTAAACTGAAAGCGAGCCTTTATTTGGGCTGATGCAGAAGGGAGTAGACAAAACATAACAGGGACAGAGACTGCAACTAACCAAAAACCTAAACTGGAAAAACACGAACCTGACTGAAAGGCATAACTATGATCACTGTGAACAGAATGCTGTGCAGATGCATGGAAACTGTGAACCAAGTGGCGTGACGAAAGAGACATGAACATGACCTGCACGGAACCTCATCGTGCGGCTGCATGAAAAACAACATAAACCAAATGGCAAACATGAACTGCACACAATCCTGAAAAACACTTAACTTGACCAAGGGGGAAGTACACAGACGACACGACAACGAACAAAGGAAGACTGAGGTGATCAGGGGAAGTGGAGACACATGAGAACACAGCTGACTCGAATGAAACATAATGACAATACAGGGGAGAGTAACACTAACTACAATGAACAAAGAACACCAGACTCTTACAAAATAAAACAGGAAACACGGAGACATAGACATGGAGATAAAACATGACATGAACTTAACATAACCACACAAAGACATGAAACATGACATGAACTTAACCGCATAGACATGAAACGTAGACGCAGGAACCAGGGACACTGAGTACAGGCGGAGATGACAGAAATAACTAAGGTCTGAACAGCAACCTAGAATTTAACTAGATTGGAAATGAATACAAAAAATACATAAAACTCAAACACTGGGTCACACGACCCAGTACCGTGACAAACATGGTGTTTGTAAAGTAGTTTTTTGTCAGTCACAGCTCTATTTCGCGCACTTTCTGGAATATTTTCCAGCACTGTATTAGAGTT